TCCTGGCAAGTTCCAGCAGGAGGGTGTACTCATAGTCGTGCATGCCGTAGTCGTTAGATCATTGACCTCGCATCCCTACAAAGCCGGGACGGAGCACGCCGGGTTCTCACCGGACCAGGCTAGGGGGAGGGGAGGGGTGGTCCAGCGAGCGAGAAAATGAAGATTTTGTTCACCGGATGTGTTTGGGTGTGTTGGGATGATGCTATGTCTCCTGGCGGGTGGGTCCGAACAACAAGCGGTATGCATCAGCTGGTTAACATGTTGCTTTGAGCACACCTGGCCACACCGCAATCGCCTGTCAATGGCTGGGATACCAGCACAATGCTCCAAGGGTTGCTCGGAGTCCTTGATGAGCTCACTAAGACCGTACTTGCTCGCTACGACCAGTACTTCCTCCGTAATCGATGGAATTGTCAGTGTGGTGTGCATTTCCAAACGAAAAAAAACAAACGCCCCATCCGATCAAAAATCGCCATCATTTCCGAACGGATACCCGCCTGAAAACGTGAAAAAACATATGTGTAGCCGGCAATTAATAATTTTGAAGTAATAAGAATGTTGTTGTCCGGAACCAGAAAATACACTGTTATCATTGACAAAAAACGACCTGTAAGAAACATCCTTCCGGGAATACTGTCTTTCTTGTCACGGGTAAAAAATAACATGAGGAGGAGAATGATACTTTGAGGCACAAAACTCGCATCAGACACCCAATAACTCCCTCACAGTGCTGCCTAGAGCCATCCCCCTTACTCCAAGGCGAAGACAGTACATACGGGCAGTTGGTTCCTTGAAGCCCAAATTTCTCACCTCGAGTATAGGACACTTCCAATATCTAAAGCGGAAGAGTGGGATATTCGGTGGAGCTAGCTGTCAGCTTCTTGCTCCAATACTCAACATTTTACGAAACCGAGTTGAGTCTGTTTATGTTTCGCTGCATTCTTCTTACCCGCGGGCCAGTCAGTACTCCGTGCACTTGGAGCCGCAGCTGCACCTGCGCAGCTGAAGAGCTCTCTCTCTCTCTCTCTCTCTCTCTCTCTCTCTCTCTCTCTCTCTCTCTCTCTCT